TTCACCTCTGGTTCCGCCGAATCCGGCCGCGAGCACCAGCCTGTCAGCTGGAACGCATAATGCGTTCCAGCCCCCAATGCCCGGACGCACAGGGAGCAGGGAAGCCTGCACAGCTCCAGAACACACAGTCAGAATAGAAAAGGTACCATGACACCACCAGACTTTAAACACCTATATTAGTATGGATTAAAATTACTGCCATCAACGTATGGGGGGGGGGATTTATGACCCCAATTAGTAGGGGCAGGCTGAAAACAGGGGGAATTTTTAAGGCTAACCAACCCCACAAATAAACAGAAACAGTGTCTCCCTCAAACACTTACTTCCCACGCTGCAGTTCAGTACTTACACTGAACCTGACCCAGTTAGTCCTGCTCATTTACTGGGTCCTTCAAATGAAGAGAGGCTGAACTTCATTTGGAACGAACCCACAACAAACGCAGGAAGGTGGCCATAAATCAAATGCAAAAAGTCCTGTAGAGGTGTAGGGGGAGGAGGGACTCTTTATACCTATCAGTCTGATTAATCTAATTAATTCCTGTCCTGTGACTGCTAAGGGAGGAGCTACCCATAAGTGATGCTGCCATGATTAGCCAGGAAAGTCTGATACTTATCTGGATCTCCCTGGCACCTCCAGTTTAAGCTGTTCTTCTGATATAATTAATGCTCGGCCAACGAATTCCGAATATAGATTGATATCTGTTGCAGAAGGAACTTCCATTTATGTGTATCTGAAAGGAGGACTAGACTGGAAGCACCCAAGGGACCTCGGTAAGTTTCAAAAAAAGATCTGACTCTTTACTGTGCGATTAGCATTTACATAGCACTAACATATTCCTCAGCACTTCACATTTATAAATGGGAATATTTGTCAAATACATTACAAACAAAATATGACGGAGACAAGAGGTAAAGAAGGCCCTGCTCAAAACCAGCTTAGAATGTATAAATGGTGCTAGAGTACTCCATGCACCATAACTACTATAGCAGGTTTCAGTGGTTATGTTTCTTAGACTCTTTAGGAGCTAGCAACCATTCATCTGAAAGATCATCATGCAAAAAAACTCTTGCTTTATTACTTTTGTGAAAACAAATATGAAAGCATCCTGGCTTAACTCTGTCTCTTCTGAGAAAAATATCCACAACCCTTCCCAAGTGTGCCCTATCACAAACCCCTGCACTGCACTCAATGGAATAATAGGGCTGTTTGTGCACATGCTAATGATCCTATTAGAAGTAATATGTAAGTCATATATAGCGCCAACTATGAGGACATCCTCATTTAAAAACATTGCAGCAATTCTTTCCTATGGGACGGGCCTAATGCACTTGAGGTGTTAGCCACGCATGGGTGTTGGCACCCGCCTTCTCCCTCCCCCCCCCCTTCATCCAAAAAGCATGGTGCTTTCACATTTTGGAAAGGTTACCTTTGGTTCATCTAATCAAAACACATCTGGAACAGTTTGTATTGCCATTATCATCTTATTTTAAATCCATCATTTACATCTCGTTACGACCCATATTTACACAATCCATTTACAATTATTCCCGAAGTGTTGAATGGAACACTACCAGCAAAAATGCTGTACTATGCCAATACGATAGTCTCTCTGAGACCACCTGATTGAAATAGAGTTTTACTCTATTTCACAGCAGTGCCTTTAATGGCTAAAATATTGATAGCCACTAGAGGCAGGTTAGCCCGGCAAAGAAAACAGTGATGGTCCTGCAGAATGGCAATGTTTCCAGATGCCCAGATGCAGGGTTAAAACAGGGAGGCACATGGTATCCAGACAACTTCATTGAGATGTATAAATATATGTACAAAAAGAAGCTCCGACACCCCCACCATAAGGTGAATAGTGTGGTTAAACACTTATCTTAATAATAAATACACTGCTTCCTCTAGGGATATCAGAGATTGTAATTGCTGCTAAGAAATACTAAGTACAAAGTATAGATGACACAGCTGTAGTCTGTAGAGCTACAAAAAACACAATAGTGTAATACAGTACAAAACACATTTATATGCTCGGATAGAAATGCACTCACAGAATTGTGACGTGTATGTCGCCTTAGCGTGCCTCCTCTTGGAATTGAAGAGGCATTGACATGAAGTGGTTATGGTGCCTAAAGGGTTCCTTTAATGCAAACGTGAATTGTTTGGAATTCAACCTCTAGGTAAAATGGCCGAATGGAAAAATCCTTGTCAGCTAGCTGTGTTTTTCAGATTTCACGATCTTGGCCTAAAACTTGAAAACTCACACCTCAATGACTATTTCAGGGTACTTAACTAAATTAAAAGGGCAAATTGTAATACACATTTAGAGCAAAATAAGCACAATTATTTTCACAGCACTTTTACATCAAAATTTGAGGTTTCAGGTATCAATATTTTTATATTTATAAAAAAAATCAAATTAATAGTTGTAAATGTTTATCACGTATTAAATAAGATACAAAATCCATTCGCATAGCAGTGAGCAAATGATAATAGGTTATCCAGAAAAGGGATTTACATTTGCTATTGGAACAGCTTTACAACTGTACTTATTCTTTTATTTAACAGTCTTCTCTTTTACAAACAGAAAAAAAGAACAACCAGATTTTTCTGACCATATCGTAGAGGAGGTTTAATAGCGGTGTGTATCATGACTGCAAAAGAGGGCAGTAATTATACATGTCAGTGGCGCTACAACAGCTGTAATCACAGGAAAAAAAACACAAAACAAAATCTCTAGTCTTTTAGAAATCTTAATTTTATAGTCTTAAATTCGGGATTCTAACTTTCACCCCTCCTGGCTTAGAAACGTTTCAATAAAAACACAAGCATTTTAACCCTCCTGCAGCAAGAATGTTTGTTGGTTGTTTTTTTTATAACAACCTATAGCCACATTTAGTCCTCTAGATAGTTATCTTAATTTTAGGAATATTAAAAAGTAATGAAGTAGTAAGCAATTTTTTAAATATCCGTGTAATGATATTAAACCTAGGAATTTTAGGACTAAAAATGTTTCTGATATTTGTCAATAAGAGACATTTGCACCAAAAAAAAATTAATAAAAAAGACAAAAGTAAAGGTAGCGTAATAAAGAACTTTGAATAAATTATGCAGTGTGCCAGTCAACTTCCTATCAAATTCATAAATAAAAAATGTTCTAAAGAAGAAAAAAAGTGACACCATGTTCTTTTTTGTAAATCTTGTAAATTCATGCTGTAATATAGCCGTTACCACACTGACCATGCGTTTCCTCAATATCGAGAACCAAAGGATGTAAACAAAACACTTGAAAGAAAATACCTTAATTTATACATTTGCTAGTCATTTGGAGAGCACACGAAATACATTGAATACATACACATACTTGTCATAATGACGTTTCATCTTTTCTGTAACTACAAGTATGAATCACCCACCGACCCATAGTTGGTGAATGCGCTAATGCAAACTAGTAATAACCCACAAGAATAGCACCAGAATATAGATGCGTACATTGTGGTTTTGACCACTTCTGTGTATGTCTATCAGTTGGCATTTACACTTCCTGTCTGCTCGAGAAATACAGAGAGTTTAAAGGTATAGTCATACGCAAAGAGCAATTGTGATTTTTTTTTTTTTATTATTTTTGTTCCAAGCCTTAAAAGGAAATTAAAATATTTTGAAGAATTCTGTTATTTTATGTGCCATAGTGGTGGGATTTTAATTCTTTATAGACTATGTATTTTATGGTATATTGAAATTCTTTCCAAGTTATTTATTTGACATTTAAATTAAATCACATCAAGACGCCCAACTGTATAACTCCTATTTTATCATTTGTAACTGGAATAAATTCAAAGACAAGATCATTGAGCATTCTGAATAATGGATCTTTGCTAGGTGTTTCCCGGAAAGAGTACAAATAAAAAATATTTGTATTAATAAAGATAAACTATTTGAAAATATGAATATATATTAATATATTTGATTTGTGTGTGTGTGTTTGTCATATATAATGGACTGGGACAAAAATGAATTCTGGTCATATAAAGACAATGCAGCCCAATATTGGAGGGGTGGGTGCCGGTGGATTCAGACATGGGGCTTGTTGTGTCATCACCAATGACGCATTCACATCCCAAAGTGGGAATGTCCGTTTTCATGTCACTTCAGGGCAGCCCATGTGCAGTGTCCTGCTGAAGAGCTCTGGCAAAGGGAATATGACTGTTTACCATAGTGCAAGTGAAATTAATGACATTTGTTCTGTGGGTGACTTATCTGATATGCAAATACGTGGAATATCAGATGAGCACAGAGATATAGAGTTGGGAGAAGGTGGTGATGTACGTGTGTGTGTGTGTGTGTGTGTGTCTGCCTGTGATTTTGTGTGCATTTGGAGACTGCTTGTAAGTTCGTGTTTTGGGAAGAAGCTGCTTGTGGTGTGGTTTTGTGTATGTGGTGGCAGTTTGTGATATGTGTGCATTAGCATCTGGCAGGGGGGCTGCTTGTTGGATTGTGTGTTGGTGAGGGAGATCTTTAGTCTACACAGCAGCTGTGGCGCACCCTCTCTACGTAAGTGCTACATGAGCACTGACCCCGCAGGGGCTGGTTAAGGAGATCCTTTGATCTTCCCTATTGGCCTCAACCAATAGCCATCGTGGCGCACTGGACATTTGCCAGTTGGCTTGATGGCCAGTCCAGGTGTGATTCTAGATAAATATTAATCTGTGAACAGTTTCAAAATATCACTTCTTCAAATATTACTAATTTCTGGTAAATTTTGAATTACAGTTAGCTGGAAATCTTGCAAGTTGGCCACAAAGTAGCACTGTTGTAACGGAGTGGTTTTTAAAATTCTTTGTACATATGATATTATAATGTTGCATATTTCCTACAAACAAACAAAACAATACGGTCAGCAGTTTGCAAGGTCACTAAAGAATAAAATTCTTTCAGGTTTATTCAATGAAGTAAGAATGTAGCCTAGCTAAAATTGTGTTTAAAACCTTTGAAAGCATAAACTCCATTGACAGTTTGTCCATTGACAAAATGTATCAACCTACAATTCAACAAGACCGCTCCATAGGGATCCTAAATTTCACTAAACTATGAATTGTTGTGAATTAATTTGGAAGAACAAAACAGTAGTTAAAATAGCCAATCTGGAAAAATTCTGCAACCCACACAAAGTCACAATCTGACCTTTTTTTGCTATTCAAAATTTTCAAATTTCCAGTTCATGTTATTCAGAAGTGAAGTGCTACATCCTGGTTATCACACGCAGCAGCGGCACTTAGCAGCAATTAGCTTGTATGAACATTTAATGGATTAATCCACGCACCATGACCACTTTCCCACAGCTGGACCCAGGTAAGAGGCAAACTGTTGCAAAAAACAGTTTGCCCCATTCCCAGAGAACCGCACTAGGATACTCCTAGCAATATAACCACTATAGCAAGCAGCATTTGTTATGTTTCCAACATCCCTTTAAGGGGAAAATTACACATCTCGAATTTACCTAATTGAATAAAACATTGGAAATCACCTACAGCTTGCGTTAATCTATTTTTTTCATGAGATGATCTGTTTTCTTCTGCTTTCTCTATATTATAAATTTAGCTAATGACCGCAAACACCAGTTCAGGCAAAACAAAGCCAGGAAAAACACTAAGTGAATTAAAGAAATCGAAAGCTTGTTTTATTTCTTCTCTGTTTGCTTTTTCTATGCTGCCTGCCAGGTGCAAACGACAGAGCCTATAATAATGATTGACAGGGAGCTGTGGATGTCTACATTTAATTATATTGTTCATACTTCCACCAATACATAGAACACAGGGATAGGTCAAAGCCCTGGGACGTTTAAGCCAATCCGGGTAACATAAACAGCAAATAGTTTAAAAACAGATCTCCCAACCTTCCTTATTTCAGTGGGACAGCCACGATTTGTGGGTCCTGTCTGGACTTTATTTCTACTAGAATGACAGGCAGCCTGGTGTGCATTCATGCCAGGTTGACCTGTCAATTCTGTGGGTGGTACGCCTTTTTAAGCAGACCCAGTGATGAGAATCGAGCCACTGGCACGCACCCATCCCACCATTTAACTATGCGCAGAGGTTGGGAGGTATGGTTATACTGGAAATCAGTGGTGCCCACAAGGAGGACAATGTCATATTTGAATAAGGATGGTCACACTATTTAATAAAATAACTGGTAATATCCAGGGGGCACCTGCTCTGAATTGCCCTTGGTAGCACATGCCCACAAAATTCATTTATTAAAACAAATGACGACTGGCCTGGTCACTGTGTTCTTAACCCTTACACTGTTCTGTGTCGTGTAACAAAATCAAAAAGGGACTACATCTTCCCTCCTGGTTAAAAGGTGGTCTGAGGTGGTCTATTGTTCCAATTTATTTAATTCATAATGATTTGTTCCCGGTTGCTTGCATGACATTAGATGAATGTTGTGGATTTTATTTGTTTTGGTGGCAAAAAGCAAACATTTACCTCCTATTGGAACATAACTGAGCAAATTCAGTATTTTTTTTGGTATTTAATAAAGATATGATTTGAAACTGAGCAAACTCAAATGATTTTTACTGAATTTTGCTAATCTTGAGTGTATTTAGAAAATGTATTTTATTTAATGTATTTAGTAAATAACTGTGTAAGATAATTCCCAGTTAAAAATATTTTCCAAGTCAGTCATGTTTTCATTTATTAACACCCGAACTTTAAAGTTCACTTTGAATAGCCAAAATTCATACTTAATGAATAATGCTGAATGTTTAGAATCTCTTCTAAATTCTAGCTTAATATCTATTCTTAAAGTCTCTGCAATGGACTGGGTATCTTAGACTTCTCCCCAGTCAACTGAAAACTAGTTACCTACTTAATGTAAACTTAAAATACTCATTGGAAAGTGCCAGTTTAAGTAAAATATATTCTAATTTCTTGGATGGATTCCCAGGAAAAGGGTAGATTCCCCTCGTCCTCTTTCAAGGGAATGTTTTAGCAAGTAGGTGCAACAGGAGAAGGGTTGCAGGTCAATTTATGTGTCCTTAAGAACACACTCTGCGAATGGTGAACGTATTCATTTGCTAGAATAACACCAACCCGTTGGAAACATGCTACACAACACGTCTTGTGGAAGCAGAGCAGTCTGCTTCAGGCCATCGACATGCTGTCTTCAATGACACCACATCAACATCAGAGCAGAATGACATTGGTTACTATTTTTCTATAGGAAACATGAGGTGTGCTTGATAGAGAAATATCACAACAACTACAATGCACGTGCTTAAGTTACTGTGATGGAGAGTAGGAGAAACAACTGTTCACCTATCTCTATGGCAGGTTCTGCATAGGCAACTTTTGGCGCTTCAGATGTTGTCGACTACATCTACCATAATGCTCTTACAGCCATATTGATTAGATGTAGTCCACAACATTTGGAATACCGAAGGTTGCCTACCCGTCATCTAGGGTGAGTAAAGAGAGAGTGGAAATCTGTCCTGTGATGTTGAATCCAACAATAGCCCAATCACTTTGCTGTACTTACAAAGTCTAAATAAATCAGAAGACTTGTGCCTGCCACAGAACACATTGTAACATTTACCAAGCAACAAATTAGTCAGGGTAAATACACTTCCAGGAAGTCACTTATAGTTATCGGGGAAATTTTAAGGATTAAATACAGAAGATAGTTCAAAAGATTTAAAATTTACCAGATTGCCTCCTATTTGATCCTGAAGTGTCCCAGATGGGAATCCATTTTAATCTGCCAATTGAAATTAATATTGGTCATTAATAAAACCAGAGTTAAGTTCCAGAAGGTACAGGGCCTGTGGCTAGATATTTTTGTGGACAGAAGCTGTGATTGAGGGGACTTGCAATTACAAGGTCAAGTTATACGGCTTCTCTCAGAAATGCCTTCATGAAAATCAAGTCAATTAATTGAACCAAAAATAAAACCTAATTTAGATTTTTGCAACCATAATCCATTTTTTTTGGCTAACAGCTCTATTAAGAGTCCAAATATTTAGAAAAAAACATTTGTATCTCTAATTGTGCATCCACTACATCACAACGGATGGGTAGTGAGTACTCCATCACGTGTCATTGCTATTCTGGTGTACTTTAGCAATAGTTCACCATGTTTTTGCAAATCTTTCTCGCTCTACAGATGCTTCTGTTCTTTAAGTGTTAAGATTCTATTACATTATAAACTCTGGTTATAAGAACCAAGAAACTATAGGTGTATTCGTGGGTTAAGAGTTAAAACAGACACTTGAATGGGATCTACATGAAACTTGCATCTTTCGTAACAAGATAATTTATCTTTTGATGGGAAACGTAGTACAAACATAGATGGTGGGACAGGATAAGGTTATCGTTAGATAATCATAATAAACCAGACAGAGCCTCAAGCCCTTCAGAAGATGCACAGAAATTCTCACCATTCGGTTTCAAACTATAAAATAGTCTCATTGTTTTGTCAAGCCAGTATGTGTGTATGACAGATTTGGTACAATAACCCAGAGAAGTTTAATGTAAAATAGGACTTACCCCAGGCCTAATAGGTCCTTTATTCAGGTTAAATGCCATGGGCTTTTTTGCCAGGAGCAATGCTAATATAATTTATATCTCTCCATGAGCCAGGATTTAACCTTTCCATTTAGCACTAGGCTACATAAAGGACAATGCTGGCAGGGCATCGTGGGAAATACAGTTCACAAATATTCGCACGGTCAGTTTTGAACATCCAAAGTATAAACTACAGTGGGTAAACATTTAAAGGAAGAGGGTAGGTTGTTGTACAAAGTCACTTGAAGGTCACACTTTGACCTGTGGCCCACCGACTGTACTTAAAGGACCACTCTAGGCACCCAGACCACTTCAGCTTAATAAACCTGACATTTTAATTTTTTATTTTGGGCACGTTATGTATTGTATTATGTGGAGACATTGAGTTTCTCTTTCCAGATAAGTATTATTTTGTACCACATTCCATTAACTTTTTCTTTTTTTCACATTGGGCTATATTAAAGGAACACTTTTTCACATTGGCTTATATTAAAGGAACACTTTAGTGCTGGAGTAAATATTTAGGTTACCGGATCCCTCTCTGTCGAGTAAAAAGGTTTTTAATAAACTTATTTATTGGACAGCATTATAATAGTAAGCAGCTCTAATGGCCGTCTAAGTGACTGTCACTTTAGGGGTTACCAGGCAGAAATGTAAACACAGCCTTTGCTCCGAAAGGGAATGTTTACATTGAAAAGCTTGCAGGGACATGCTATAGACACCAGTACAACTATATTAAGCTTTAGTGGTTCTGGTGACTATATTGTCCCTTTAAGGTTGCCAGGGCCCTGCGCATGGGTCTAAATTAAAGGTCCAGTGGAGAGCCTTCCCTGGTGCTCTGGTAGGGGATAATTGTGGACTGTACCAATATTGGGTGCAGACCACTTCAGCTCTCTGGTAATGTGGTGCTTAGTCAATGACTCTGAGGTTGATGCTCTGAGGCATCAAAAAGTCTTTTCTGCACTTGATATAGTTCAGCCCTGTCAAGCAGGATATGGGGCTCAGGACAAAGCAGGGACATTTTTATGATCTCCATGCCAGCTCAAGCAAGGATCCCTCATAGCCAGAGACAGATCTCCAGGCCTAGACAGAGGCCCACCATCCCCTCTCTGAGCCCATGTCTTAGGTAATGTGGCTTTCTTTATCCCTTAGGGATTGAGTTGCTGCTATTCATTAAGAGGACCTTTTAGTTACTTTCTTTTTGCTTTTTTGAGGCTCCCTTTTAAGGCGCCTGTACCAGAGTTCCAGAATGCAGTCTGGTTAGGTGAGATCATTATATTTCTTCTTGTGAACTGCTTAACTCTACAGGGCCCCATGCAGGCCCTTGGACTCGGCTGGGGCCCCTTAGTGGCCTATGTGTGATGCCAGTAAAGATGAATAGACTGCTAGGCAATCAGCCATTAAGTAACAGGTTGCTGCAGTAGCTCCTGTGGGTTCCTTGTGGCATGGAGGTGAGGATGAACAAAGTAATGGATTCAGGTCTGGGTTCAATGTCACTGTTGCCGGTGCCCTGCACCATGTTACATTTTGTTTTCAGTTAAAGGGACACTATAGGCACCCAGACTACTTCATCTCATTGAAGTGCCCCTGTCCCCTTAACCCTGCAGCTGAAAACATTGCAGTTTTAGAAATACCAGACAGTCACTAGAGGTGCCTCCTGCTGTTTTACAGAGTTTAACTCTATAAAACGACACTGAACTACGTCACACTTCATCAGGACGTCCAGCGTTTTCAAAATAGCTGCGCATTCACATTAGCTTTCCCCTCGCGATGACTTTGAAGGAGTCAGAGACAGAGCCAATGCCGAGGGTCCCCGGCGCTGCAGTAAGGTAAGTGTTTAGCAGATAGTTTAACCAATTGAATGTCACGGGAGGGGGGCTGCGGCCTGCGGGGGCAGAGGTATAGGGACACTATAGTTATCGGAATACTTTTTTGTATTCTTAACGCTCCTTTAATGCAATTTGGGGTTAAATACATTTTTCTTTTTTTTTTTTTAAAAGAGACACTAAGCACCAAAACCAACTAAATTGTAGTGATATTGGTGCATAAATGCAGTCCCTTTTTTCTTGCAATGTTTTAGACAAATAACATTTTGCCTCAGGAACTCCTGTATTGACTGTCAATCTGCTAATAAAATAAGCATCTTCTTTTATAAACTGCAAATGTTTTTAACACTCGGCATCATTTGGCCCAACATGACGACACCGAATGCAGCTGGACTTTGTCACAGGAAAGCATTAAGAAAGCGACTCTGTATGATAATTCATTTGGCAAGGAAAGGCTGACTGCTATACATACACAGTAGGATAAGACTAAATATCACTCTGGTGATAAGCTCACAGTAAGTTGAGTAGACTGCCATGAGTAGACCATTGTGGTGGTGGATAAAAGGGAAGTTTAACTTTTTTCCAAAAGTGACCATGAACGCTATAAAGATATAAATACATGTCTACATTTTACTGTTTAATAAATAGTCCCTGATACTTACTTAAAAAAAAAAAATTCTGATGTTATAAAATACAGTAAAATTAAAGCTATACAACAAAATTCAAGCTAATAAAACAAAGGTATAACTTAAGGGTGGTTTTCACTAATTAGTGAATAAAGCCCATTATCAATATCTTTCTTATACAGGTACACCTACAAATGAAATAGATAAAAACACACATAAAATATGCTGATGCAACATAAAATCATGCAGACAGACAAGAGGTTTAGATATGAAACAGGATAGAAATTTGAAGCATGTGACTTTCAGATACTGAAACCGCCAAGCATGGCACGAATATTCATAACTCGTTCAGAAAGGGCTGCCCTCCTGGGATTTTCACTGACTTTACTCTCTGGAGATTGCATATAATGATGTGATAAACAAAAAACAGTGAGCAGCAGGTGTGTGGGTAAAGTCACCTTGTTGTTAATGAGAAAGAGGTCACAGGAGAATTTACAGACTTACGTTAATACTGTAGAAAGGCCATGAATATTGATCCACTTTGGGCCTTGAGCCACCCGTGGCATTTGCCAGGTCCCCAAGCAAAAAAACAAAAAACACAACAGGTCCCCTGTTGATGTGGACCTCATCTCTTGGAAGGGGATCTTGGTCTATGGTGGTCAGATGACTCATCTGTGCCAGTGCACTCTGGGCAACAATGATAAAGAAATAATGCCCCAGAAATATATGCAACCAGCACATTGTAGCTACTGGACATGAAGAAAAACAAAACTGCAAGGGGCTTGGATGAGTCAGATGTCCCACAGCCATATCTCTTAGACTTGAGAGATAAACAATACTCTGTAGATCAAGAGTTGAGGGGGCATAATGTAAAGGAACACTATAATATTAGGAATACAAAGCTGTTTAAATAACCGTTTAACCACTTCCTTGATTCCAGCGCAAGTGTCCCTCGGCACTGAATTTGCGCTCTTCCTCCTCCCCTCACATCAGCTGATAGGAGGAACTTAATGGGTATGCACAGTAAGTGCCGTGCGTGCATTAGGCCCCCCCCCCCCCCATAGGAAAGCACTGACTCCTCATGAAAAGCATGAGAATGTCCAGTGTCATTTCACGGAGTCAAACTACATCTAAATACAGGAGCACCTCTAGTGGTAGACAGCCACCAGAGGCAGTCTTAACACTGAAATGTAAACATTCTTAGCAATTTGGGAAGTTGCAGAGAAACGTTTTCCACTCGTAGGAGTCACAGCCTCCCGATCTTAATGTATGGCGCGAAACGAGAGACTGGAGCTGGGCGGCAATTGAGTAGGTATCTGACACATACAATAAAAACCAAAGAACAAAAAGGAGTTATCTACACATATTTAAACACTTCCCGACCACGGACGTACCAGGTATGTCCGACAAAAAACAGTTGTTAACGACCTTGGACCTAGTACGTCCATGGTGATCAAGGTCAGGGGGGACTGCTCGAGCCCCAGCAGTCTCCCTGCAGCAGCTCCGGCCACCGCGGCCCTCCAGGGCCATGTGATGATGGCAATAGGAGTCTATGGAGCTGCCAGCAAGGGGACTGTCTGAGTTATCAGGCAGTCCCCCTGACACCTAAAAAGTTAAAATAAAATATATTACATATGGATAATATATTATAAAATAATTAAAGCAATTTATAATATATTATACATATATAAAGCACATACATGAGTTCATTAGAAGTGTACTTTGAGATATATGCACACATATACACTTATTTCCATCCCCCGAGAAAATAGTAAAGAGCCCGAAGCTCCATCCTCTCGCGAGAACGGAGCTTTGTTGCGGTTACCATGGCAATGCTCCGGATCTCGAGAGAGTCAACTCTAGCCTGAGCTGCAGGATAGAGTTCACTCCCCACTAGGACCGCCAGGGATTCGAAGTAATATCCCCCTCCATGAGCAAAGGTAAGAAGGAAGGGGGGATATAAAGTATATTTATTTTTAATACAAAAAAATCAAAATGTATATAGATATATTTGTATGGTTCTGCGCACCCCACCCCACACCCCAAACTCCCTACACATTTACACACTGCACCCCCAAACACATATATTGCACTATTCACAAACACTGCACTCCTCACACACACATGCAGACACTGCACCCCTCACACACACACACACTCACAAACACTGCACCCCTCACACACACACACTACACCCCTCACACACACACACGGCGCACATACACACTGCACCCCTCACACAGTTTCACTCTCACACCTCACAAACACTACTACCCCTAATCCCTACTATAGTCCCTTTCCCTTACTACAGCTCCTATCCTGGCAGACCCTAGGTAAGGTGTCAAACTGTTCTTAAACGGTTTGACTACTTACTCTGTAGTAGTTGTAGTGGATATTGTGCCTGGATTGTTCCTACCAGTGCACCTCCCAAGATTAGGTTCTGGATCCGCCCCTGGTCTAGCCTGTGCAGAGAAGAGCAGAGCTGGAACTGGAGGACGGGCGGTTCATCTTAAGGTAGGGGAAGAGGGACCTGGGGGACCTTCCTGTGTAGTGTGTTAAATATTGGGGAAGGGGGCCAATGTATTAAATTGTAGGGACAGTATTAATTTGGTAGGGAAATGGGGGCAGTGTATTAAATTGGAGGAGGGAATGGGCCAGTGTAATAGAGTGGTGGGAGGAGTGGCCAGTGCAGTGTATTCATTTGAGGGAGGGGGTAGTGTATTGAATTGGGGGAAGGAGGGACAGTGTATTAATTTGGGGGAAGGAGGGGGCCCAGTGTAATAGAGTGTTGGGAGCAGGGGCAGTGCAGTGTATTAATTTGAGGGAGGGAGGGGCAGTTTATTAAATTGGGTGAGGAAGTGTGGCAGAGTATTAGAGTGGTGGGAGGGGGCAGTGTGTTAAATTGGGGGAAGGTCAGTGTATTAATTTGGTAGGGAGGGGGCAGTGTATTAGAGTGGGGATAGAGGTGCAGTGTATTAGAGTGGTGGGAGGGGCAGTGTGTTAAATTGGGATAGGGAGAGGGGCAGTGTATTAAATTGGGGAAGTGGGGGCAGAGTATTCAATTAGAGTCGAGGGAGGCGGAGCAGTGTATTAGATTGGGTGGAGGGGGCAGTGTATTGGATTTGTGGGCAGTGTATTCAAATGTCGGGAGGGGGCAGTGTATTGGATTGGGTCTGCATAGAGGGGCTGAACGCTCCCCATAGAGATGCTGACTGGCCATGCAGCTTTTTGCCACACATGCACAATAGCCTCCCAATGCTTTCCAATTGAAAAGCATTGGATTGGCTGAGACCATCAAGCCAAAGTGAACACCACACTAATAGTACTGACATTCTTTGAACCATTATTCTGTCTCAGATCTCTTTATTCTGTCCCTTCTCTCTTTATTCTACTACTGTAGAATCTGTCCCAGATCTTTCTGTCCCAACATCCAGAATGAACACGCCAAATCCAGTGACGTTGACGAGATCCCGCAAGACCAAGAGACCGGGACCGCAATGGACTTTGGACATGTCTGCCCTAGGGTATCTATTTTTCAAAAATATATGGTTTGATGGGGGTAAATTACATTGGCTGGCTTCAAATAAATTCCAAATAGGACATGGGTGCATGAGCTGTGAAAATTCCAAGTTGGAAAACTGAAATGCGCACCCTCCAAATAAGGTCTTTTAGCCCCCCAGAGAACCTGACACACCTACACATGGATGGTATCATTGTACTCAGGAGATGTTGCCAAACACATATTGGGGTGTTCTTTGGCAGTAACCCTTAAAGTTCTCAGTACATGTATACTTAAAGGATCACTATAGTGTCAGGAAAACAAAGCGGTTTTCAAGACACTATAGTGCCCTAAGGGTGCCCCCACCCTCAGGGTCCCCGTCCCATGACACTCAAGGGGTTAAAACCCCTTCAGCTACTTACCTTCATCCAGCGCCGGATCGCAATGCTTTCCTATGGACGTTCTGCACACTGGATGCAAATTATCCAGCGTCGCAGATGCGCCTCTAGCGGCTGTCAGGAAGACAGCCACCAGAGGTTGGATTAACCCCAAATATAAACATAGCAGTTTCTCTGAAACTGCTATGTTTACATGTGAAGGGTTAAAACATGAGGGACCTGGCACCCAGACCACTTCATTGAGCTGAAGTGGTCTGGGTGACTATAGTGTCCCTTTAAATTGCTATGTGTGTCCAAAAAATCATCAATTATTTTTTTTTGTTTTTAAATTTGCCATAGATTGGTGGTAAAATGGTTGCATGAAAAGAGTCAAAATACCCTAAAGTTTAAAACCCCTGTCCACATTTACCTGTACTCATAATTGTTTGGACATAGAAATACGCTCTGCGATTGATCGACATATAGCTCCAGGAAAGATCACACACACAAAAAAAAGAAAATATAAATAAGTAAAGGAAAAATAAAACAGCAAGGAGCTATACGTAAACCTATTGTTTCCCCATTCTGTTTTGTGACCTTGGAAACACTATCAGTTAAAATGCAAAGTTTGGAATTACCTAAATACATGTACAAGATGGATCTGTATATCTCAGTTACGAGTGTAACATTCTAGAGGCCTGCGTGCCCTCAACTGTATTTCATTTTGTCTTTCACATGTCTCAATACAATAAAAACAAGATTTAGAAAAAAAAAATACCCCAAGTTTAATACCTTAGGTTGTCTTCTTTTAAAAAAAATATATACATGTGAAAGGTTATTCAGGGATTCCTGACAGAGATCAGTGTTACAATGTAACAATATTAATTTTGAAAATAAATGGTTTGGAAATAGCAAAGTGCTACTTGTACTTATTGCCCTATAACTTGAAAAACAAGCTAAGAACATGTTAACATTTCTAAACACAGGACAAAATTTTGAAACTATTTAGCACGGGTGTTTTTTTTTTAGGTGGTTGTGGATGCACTACAGATTTTGGGGGTCAAAGTTCAAAAAAAGATAGTTTTGTGACCAAGTGGCTACTAAAAAAGACTGGACATTCCCCATTTGCAATACTTTGGGTTGTCTACTTTTGCAAATGGTATGCCATCATGGGGGTAATTCTCATTCCTGGGCTACCATATGGT